GCCTTTTGTGTGGTATTTCTGTTTCAGGTAGTTTACTGACCTAGCAAAAAAATGGGCAACAGGCAACCATAAACTTGGCATTTTTCAACTTTCAGCAACTTGACTCTACAAGTAAATTACTGTTCTTTTAATATTAACACTAGGTCCTCAATTGCTACTTTAGTATAATGAAAAATCATTCTGCAAGCATGTAAGCAAAAACAAATTCTAAGATTTTTATAGTTTCTGTTTTTTTAAAACTTCAGTGGAATGTAGGATTTGATACATTCTTTCCTTATCAAGAAACAGTGGCATGTGCTGTATAAAAAATATATAGTACATGCAGTATATAACACACCATATGAAGGCACATTGCTGAAGCCTGAAGATGGAAAAAAAAAATAAAATCCCAAATCTTTTTACAGAATGCATTTCTGGTTTTAATAAAAAATTCATCTTGAACACCATTTTCTAGGCACATGTACTTCAAATAGCACACACACATCTATTTAAATACTCATACTCAAAGTGAGTATGAGTATTTAAATACTTATCACTCAAAGATAAGTACTTGCTTCTCAAAAGTAAGCATTATACAATTGTTTTAAGTTCTATGGTGGTTTTCTTAAACCATATCTTCTGTTTTATGTGGTTAGTAGACAGATGTGTTGTGGGATAATTTCAGATTTTTAGCAGATCTTAAATGCATGTTGCTTCAAATGTGACAGGAATACTAGCAATTTTATTGATTTAAATCACAGCAAGTAGCTGTGATTAAAAATGCAGCATATGTATTAGTATTCCATGCTCAGAACTGAAATAAAGCAGAAAGATTTAATAAAGTTTCAAAAGGGGAAGCATTTCTAATGTACCTGAATGAAATTGCAAGGCAAGAGCCTGAAATTCATCTCTAACAAGATGTTTTTGCCATTTAAACCAGAATAAATATATTAAGCTTATTGTTTACATAGCATGCCAACAAGGCTAATTAAGTACTACTTTTTGCAGCTGAACTTGAAAAGTATGAAAACACTATAGAAGAGGGAACAGTGTAGAACAGTATAGCTGACAGGTACAGCCAAAAGGAGCAAAAGGTCAGCATATGCCAATTGCTACTGTGGATTTTCCACAGCTGCCGAGAATTCTTTTATTTCCAATTCAGAGGAAATTTGAGGGAACCTCAGATACCATTGTGTGGTAACTGCTGGCAAACATTACAGATTTTATCTCAACCACTGGCGTACTAACTGCTTGCATTTCAACATGCATTTTTCATTCAACTTTTTCTTCTTTAACTTTTTCCTACAAGGTACACACTAATGCATAGACTAATAAATAAAAACAACACATTTGAACGTACCATATCTACTTTATGTAAAGAATTCTAGGAATAGATGCTACACATATATTACTATGTCATACTTTTTTTAGTCTTTAAACCAAGGCTCTGAAAAGAAGAACGCAGTCCAGGTGCAGCAAGTTGGAAGAGAACCTAAAAGATGTTTTAATGAAAAGGAAGACAAATACATTCTAATGGCTATTCAGTGAAGTTCTATTCTAAACAGGGTAGCTCAAGGTGAGGCTTCTGAAATGCAGGTGCTCTTCAACTTCACAAATTTCCATGTAAAAAAGCCAGGCCAAACTTAATAACCTAATTTGGCTTTCTGTGTAAAATATAATGCAGGACTCCATTAAATTCACACTTTTAAAAATTAAACGGCATTTTTCACAACAAGAAACAATCTTCTTAAAAAATAGGCAGGAATAGAAAATGCACCATGGTTTTTCACTATACAGAGAAAGTATATGGCATCAAATTGCCAAGAAGACCGAATCTGAACTTGCAGCTTTGGCAGCAAATTCAGGTAAAGCTGGAAAAAAAACCCCTAATTCACAGAAAATAATAATACTAAATAAATCTATCAAGATGAGTATGCAATTATGTTCTACTCCACCCTGGTTACCTTTGTACAGAGGAACAAGTATGTTCTGCATTTCTGACCTCAAGAATGCTTGACTTTAAGTTGGGATCTGATTATCGTGATTGTCACATATTTTTATGTGCTGCTACCTGATCACTACTTACCCTACACACTTTCATCGTTCAGAATTGAAGAAAACTGCTCATACGGAACAAGAAGGAACTAGTGACTAGAGTAGAGCTTATAGCTATTGTTTATAACTTTAAATTTTTGTTACATAGAGACACAGGAACTAGTTCCCATGTGGTAAAACAAACGCTGAGGTCAAAGGAATATTCTGCTTGCTTCTGTTTTCAACTATAACCACATCAAGTACTGCAGTTCTAACTGTTCTTCAAGTCTCTTCTAAAATACATTATTTTATCATCACAGAGTGATAACAGAGAAGAATAAAATGATTTTATGAAGTTCAGCCTGTAATTGGTTGAGCATCTGATTCCACATTACGTATATTAGTGTTAAAATACTACAACTTAGAGGCAACCCGGATCTTGTATTACTAAAACTTTGCAAAGCTTGCTGAACTATCACAGTAATCCATTGGGATTTACAACACAGTAGGTACCAATGTACTTTCAGCTCTCAGCTGCACAGAAACAAGCACTGCATGATAAACATCCTGACTAGGAGCTTTGTGTGCTTTGATTTACCACTTTAATGCATAAATTTGTACAGGTTTGGTGAAAAGTTTCATATTGCTTTTGCATATTTTTTTATTATTTACAGAAATCATATCTCATTATCACCTTGCCCAAAGTGTTCTGCCTAATACCTCACTTTAAAATCTCAGTTTAAAACCTTGAAACTGTATTGACATGATTGCAAATTTCACTGCTTGGTGAGACAGATATGAAGTTTGGCTGAAGTACTTTCCTAAGTATACTGAGAGACTCTTAGGCCACAGCCCCTTTGCATTAGAAAGACAAACATGTTTTTCCAAATTCACACCATTATTGAAATGGTAAAGAAAGCCACAAACCATTTCACTCAACTCCTGCTAAAGAATGCCATTTCAGTATTCTTCTCCCAAGAAAGGACTGTCGTGTTTCAGATTTACACCCACATTACATGGGTTATTATGTCACCCTGACTATTTCTACATTTCACTACATTTCTAAACATAAAAGCAAGATAAATCCATGGCTGCTGCTTCTGATACACAGGCTTCTCTGCACTATACAGTAATACTTTCTGAAGGTCAGTAAAATTAATAATTTATTCATGTTTCTAAAAGCAGTAATTCTTTGAGAAGCTAACATAGACACCTCTCATTCTTTCTAACACAGCATGACTTGGCACACATTAAGTTTCAATTTAGCAATCTCAAAAATGTTATCATACGAAGTACCTTATCCACTTAAACATTAACGTACTTAGCATCAGTTAATGTTGATACCTTCAATCTTAAGGACTCTTTGGGGAGGTGTCATAAGTATGAGATGTTCACTGTAACCATCCTTTCTGAACAGGAAGGGATAGTCCAGGGCTACTAACACAATGTTTTCCCCAGTCTTGCTAGATCCCTGATAAGAATTCTCCCACTGGGAATACGCTGGGTGCTTGCATTATGCTTTTTTTCAGTGGTCTTTCACCATTTCTGCCCTCTTTGTTCATATTACTATTTCTCCTCACTCATCTGCTGATGCCTGCTTCCATCCATTTTATTCCATGTGCTATTCCCATGAAAAGTAATTTTCTTCACTCATAATAGTTCTTTCTCTCTCTCCCTACAAAGCTGCAAGAAATACCTGAGAAAGAACTGAAATTAATGTTGAACTCTGATCCAATATATCTGGAGAGCAGGAAAGATAACAGTATTACCAAAAAAAAAAAAAAAAAAAAAAAAAATCAGAGTGCAGAAAACCTGAGTTCAGGCTCTGGTGTGACAAAAGGGAAGGATAAAGTTTTCCTAGTGTCATGACACAATCTCTGCCAGGTCCTGAAAATTCAAGAGAGAAATTTAGGAAGATTATTTGCCCTCCCTGAAGGAGAACTGTCCCTTTCAAGTAATAAAAGGGAAAGAAAAAAATTATCTATCTACTGTGCAAGCAAACATTTACACCATTGTAAGAAAACTACTCAATAGGTGCACACTGAAATAGACCCCTGGCTCTATTTTATATTTCACAACATACAAGCAAATACGTGTGTTGCTCTTTTTTCTAGCAAATAATAATCACCAGTTCCTCCTAGAAATTCTATATTTGTTGTTTTGGTAATGCTGAGGCCTCAGCACTGCTGAGGCTGCTTTCTGCAGACACTAAATAAGCACTTAGTGTGAGTGAGCTAATCGTCATCCAAAATACAGACTATATGTAATGCCAACCAAGAATCTAAATTACAAAGACTAGAGGTGGTTCACTGGAGTCCAATTCTAGGACTTACTGGCTAGCTTGTAATGCTGTGTGATTACGTATGTGTGAGACTGGTTTGCCATTACCCTGAGAAAAACAGCAAGAAAAGCATGACTTTGGGCGTTGAATGCTTACAGCTAGAATCTGTGAAGTGAGAAACTGTCATGTCTTTTATTCCTACAGTATAAGGGGAAAAGGGCTGTGGGCCTGTTTCTTGTAAGTCATGAAACAAACAACTGCCTGAAAAAATACCCAACTGTTCTAAGTTTTTCACTGCAACATCATGCAAAATTCCTTGTTAAAAGGGAGCAACACAATACAAGAATATTTCAGGATATATTGTGCCATTTTTTCTGCAGCACTTTTCCTGAATGTATCCTTCAAGCATGTACTTAAGCACTGATGGTGCTTAAGTTTTGCTTTATGAACATCTGCCCTGTCACTTTTGCAGTCTAAAGCAAAAGTTTATAAATATAGAAAATAAAAATGTGTCTAATCCTATCTGCCAGTACATAACAACAAAAGAATATCTCTCTTTTCTATCTAGGTGTAAAGATGGAGCTGTCATTATTGCCATAGACCAGTTAAAAGAGCACACTATTACCAAGGAAAAACACTGACAGAATTACAACTTCTCTGTATTTTCATGAGTATTGCTAGTAAGAAAGAGAGAAATCAGACTTACTGTGCATTTGTTTGGCTTCTCTCCTGAGTGGACCCTCATGTGAATTAGCAGTTTATAACGAGCATTAAATGGCTTGTACCTTCGTGGGCAGCCTACCCAGAAGCAAGTGAAGTCCTCTCCCTTCCTCTGGTCTATGTGCATCTTTTCTATGTGCCGCACAAGTTCCTCTTGCTGGTCATACCAGGCATTGCAGTCACCCCAGCGACAGCCGTGCTTGCCACTGATATCATCGAGCTCACTGTCTTCATCAAGCAGGGAGCCTGGGGCAGATGGAGGCATGGGCAAAGGGTGGATGTGACTGGTGAGGCTGTGTGGATGCTGGTGCTGGTGAGCATGGTATGGTGGGGGTGGCCCTTGTGGAGCAGGTGGCAGCAGCAGGGGTGGAGGAGGCATGTCGACCATATGGCCTGCGAACTCAACAAGCTGTTCATTTTTCAGGACACTCACCACCTGGTTGTCCACAAACGGCACAATTTGCTGGATGATCATGTTACTTGTGGCAGCTGCCTGCAGGCTGGCTTGCTCCAGCTGCTGCATCCGCTGGTACTCACCAACCCCGCTCTCAGCGCACCCCGGAAAGGTGATGTTGCCATTAGCCATGAGAAGGCCTTTCTGGGCAGCTGGAATAGAGCAGCTCTGGGGTATGCAGCTTCCTCTCACTCCCAGAAAATGCCCATAGACCTCAGGCTGCAGGGAGACTTTTGCTGGTGAAGTCCTGGAGCTGTTGATGTAGGCCACCAGAGAGGTCGGGGAGGTACGGATGATGGTATTGAAGTCGATCCCAATGCTGTGTGACACAGGAGAGAGAGAGAGTCCTCTCTTTTTGGATCGGGCCGATTGAGACCGTGCCAAGGAATGGCGAGGACTGGAGTAAGAGGAATGACTATTTTCCATGCCATGTAAGTAGGACGGTAATGAGTCAGAGACACAGTTACTGGGCACAGATGTTACAGGTGAAAGACTTAGTAAGTCCCCCAGTTCACTGCCATTTTGTAAACGTTGGTCAGGAGGAACAGAAGGAAGTGTCCTGTACCCATGTGGCCACTCTTGCTTAAGACTCAGAGTGGACTGACTTTCTGACAAGCTTAATGTCGTACAGGCCAGAGACTCAAGTGACAAGAACAACCTGGAATAAAGGCACAGTAAAGTAAGCAAGCAGTTAGACAATTCAGCACTTCAAATAGAATGCCTGTATATTGCTATAAAATGGTTCTTCTATCTTCACACACACATAAAATTAAAGAAAGGCAACACGTGAGTTAGTTCTCCCTAATTTGAAGCACAAAACTTTAGCACTCTCAGCTAATGTACCAGAAGGCTTACACAGGCAACACATATGTAATAAGGTCACTCAGGAAACTAACTTTAAAACATCAAGATTTTGAAGAGAAGTTGCAGTGAAGGTTCTTGATAGAGAAATGAAGGAAAAAATTTATCAGCTGAATCCAAAGCATTGTGCTCCTGCCTTGTGCAAAACTCATATTGATTTGAATCTATTATTATTATTGCTGGCAAAGAACAGGAAGAAATCTGATTTATAAAGAGCAAATATTTAACCTGAATGACTTTTCCAATTGTAGTGCATACAAATAGTATTCTCTCCAGAAATAGCTCAAGTTTATAAATACAGATAATATCTAACTTTACAAAACAAACAAAATAAAAGAATAATGTAGAAGAACTGGTTCTAGGGGTTTATTTAGTTTTGATGTATTGGCATCCACGTCAGCAATCAAAACTTTTCACAGAAGTGTAATCGTGCTGTTATCATTGTTTTATTCACAGAAACATTAAGAAACTTTTCTATGCTGCAAATGTCCTACAGGTAGCTTAAAAACAGAATTCATAGGCTCTTAGCAAAAGTGTTTTCTACAGAAAGGTATGACAAGGAAATATAAGGACATCAGGGTCCCTGATTCATGGCTGCAAATGCAGGGTAGAGAGGCCAAGTGGATGCATGTCTTTATGTTTCCAGTTCACAGGTTGGCAGACTTGAATTCCCTGCCAGCCAGTGGTGCTATCAGTATATTCATTTCTATTTTTAAGGAGCTCTAACAGTAGGAAGAACCAGGTATGTATCTAGATAAACCTGGAGATCTCATCTTATATTTTTTGCATTAATTCCTGGTTTTATTCTTTTCCCAATACACTTTTGAAGAAGCATAACATTTCAATGATGAATCAAGTACATAAGAAATTTGGCTTCTCTTCTAAATAAAAAATGCATTTATTAAGGTGGACAAGTCAGTCACCACTTCTCAACTTCTCCCATAATAAACAAGATACACAATAGTTCCTCCTATCATACAAAGACTCCAGGAGGTCAAAGTAACTTTAAAAAAGACACCTAATAGGTGCTAATAGGTACCGTAAACACCAGCTATTGAAAAATGTGTCTCAAAGCTCTAAGTAAACAGTACATTAAATATTTACATGCTGTAATCCAAAGAACATATCATATAGGCTGTACGAGGAATAATGTATTCTTATTTAATAAGGTAAGTTCCAATAGTAATTTATTTTACATCATGGCTTTATATTGCTACCAACTTCAAACTTCTAGAAGACAAAGTATGCACCATATGGAAAATTCATTCAAACAAATGTCATCTCTTTCTTGATACTGACACAGTTACATCAAACACCTTTCAGGAGCCCCTTCTTCCTATTTTACTTGTTTTTTATTTTTTTAAAATAGGGAAGTAGGTTTTTGATGTCTACTCAGAGTAAGCAATATTGCATTTGCTTCTGAGTTCTGTAAGGGTTTCTTATAGATACTCCTTCAGGAACGAAGGGTTCATGAGACAGATCTATTAAAGTTCTGTCCTGGTTTGAGCCAGGATGAAGCCAATTTTCCTTTTACTGATTTTTTTTTTTTTTTTTTTTCCCTTCAGTAAGCTTTCTTTTAACTAGAAACTGTGTGTTCTGCTAGGCTGATAAGACAGTGGAATGTTTTTCTAACTACTGAGGCTTCAAGGTCGCACCTTCACTCTGCCGGCTCAGACACTATGGGGGGAGATCTGTGACCCCCCCGTAGGAGGCTGAGTTAGACAGACAGCAAAATTGGCCAGAGATATTCCATTCCATATATCTATGTAAGCTCAGAGGAAGATCAGACATCACAGAAGACAACTTCCTTCCTGCTTCTTCTTCCCTTCTCTTCCGTCCATGACGGTGTCTGGGGAGGACTCCGTCCATCCATCACCCTCAACCCTTAGGCTCGAGCTCTCCTGACCCCCATAACTCTCCGCTTTCTCCAGCAGCAGCTCTAGGATTCCTCAGAACTGTTCCCAGCTCAGGGAAATGCTGTGGGAGTTGCTGGGGGTGGGGGGAGGCGAGAGGCTTTTGCCCATACCTGAATATATATCTGTATATAATTGTATATATTCTTTTATATCATTCATTAGTGTTTTAATTAAAGCTGTGCAGTTTAGTTTTCAATCCAGCCAAGTCTCTCTCTTTTTCTCTCTCTCCTTCCCTACCTGGGTGGGTGGGGGAGGGGATCGAGAGCATTGTTGTTGAACCAAACAGTGACAAGTTCACAGTTGCACCACATGTCTGCACAACAGCCATGACATCACAGTAGTGACTGCAGCTTTGGTGGAGATAAACATAACTACTTAATTTAAGAGTGGGTGGTAGGCTAAAACCGGGGATCTCCATCCCAGTTCAAGTAACATCAGTCAACTCAAGAGAGAAAGAACAGATCCTATTCAATGCCTCTGTAGATATTCCCAGTGAATATGGAAAAAATTACCAAATTTCCATTATTTTGCTTAGTAAATTGACTTTTCACCTCTGAGATCTGTGACTTATCTTTCAAATAGATCAGCAAAGTTGAAAGAATATATGAAAACACTAGGTAAAGTCATTCAGGCAAGATAAATCTGGATATCTGTCCACACTCCGTTCTAGCCACAAAGATTTAAGCTGAAAAATCAGTGTCTTTGTTATCTTACTCTGTCTACCACGTGAGCACTCCCTGAGTGATGGATTTTGTCTTACTACTTCATATTCTATGATTCTCTGAAAAAAAAAATATTCAGGCTGTTGAGTCTGTTATCAATGGGCTTTGTTAAAGCACAGTTCCTGATAGGGCACTTAAATTATGCTAGTATGCTGTGACTGCAAATACGTATCTACAGTCTTCAACAGAGCAAGAAAAGTAGGTATGACTTTTCCATGTTAGGCTATATATATTTATACCTGGGAAATAAAGATAATTGGTGGGGTTTTTTGCCAGCTTCTTTTTTTTATTTTTTTATTTAATTTTTTTCTCTTTTATAAGTAGGGGGAAAATCATCCACCACTATAAAAGTCCATTTTTGTAATGTTGACAGTTTTAATCAGATGCACAGGACTGGTGTCATTCAAAAAACTAATAATGTCTAGCACAAAGGGACATACCCACACACAGAGCTGAAGAAAAAATATATTTTAGAAGTCTCATAGCAGGACAAAAACTAAAAATTGGCCTAGATTGTCAAGCTTAAAGTGAATGTCAGATAATCTGAAGAAGTTTAGTTCTCATTTGAGCCACTAAATCAAAAAGTAACTGAGATTCCAGTTCCCAAAACAAAGAAAATGTCTATAAAACCCAGCCCACACCATGACTCAGTAGTTTTCTGGGGGAAAGTACATATAGCTAACATGAAAATGAAGGGCCAGCTATACCACTGTGCCAGATACTCAGATGGTATTAATTGGCAAGGCTGCTTGTAGTAATCTAAAACAGCTGTGAGTTTGGACCAAATCTTTTATAAGCATTTACAAGACATTCCTGCAATTACTTTCCATTCTTCGTGTACAGAGGCCACAGCGTCAAAGATAAGCCAGAATCTTAAACATAAACAAGGAAAATAATAATAATAATAAGAAGAAAAAACAAAACCCCAATGTTTTCTTATCTTTTTGCATGGTCTTCTATTTTACTTACTTTACTTCTATTTTTTGCGCTTTCCTAGGTCCTTCTTTGACTTTCTTCAAAGTAAATGGCAGTATTACAGCTGGTTTAAACAGTGTCACTGAATACTCTGAAAATGTTTTTGGGAAACTCTCAGAAAATATGGGGGAAGGTTTTATGCTTCATATTCTGTATGCTAAAATCTGATGTTATCTGTGGCAAAACTCCTATTTTGTCAACTTTTTCTTTTTTTCATCAATAAAAATCAAGACAAGTCATTTATATTTGGGTCAGTTCAGGAAATGTTCTGGTTTGGATTGAGCTGCCAGAGCACAGTTCATGACACCTTAGAGACACAATCCAGAGAAGGCACTCAGCCCATGAAGGATTATGAAGTCAGCTCAGGCAACCAGCACAGGTTGCAGTTTATTGTTGAAATAACTAAAAAAAAACTCCTAAAAACCAAACCAACAAACCCTAAAAAAATTAAAAAAAAAAAAAAAAGTGTAAAGAATTTGTGAATTAAAACCTGACTTCAAACGTGGTTTGCCCTATAAAACAGATAATTTCAGGGCAAAATTGCTGAAATGGACATTCTCTGTGTGACAAACCGATTTTATAGCATCTTCATTGATAAATCATTAAAAGAGACTCTAGGGACACTAAAGCCTCAATTCTGCCAGTTTCAACTTCAGTTCACCCTTAGTAAATGTTTCTTTAAAACACAACCAAAATGTGTAACTCAGTACTGACACAGTACACCCAACCACACATTCAGATAAAAGTAACAGTGCTTGGAACCATACCAGCACATCAACAACTTACTAAGTATTATTATTATTATTAGCAGTAGTAGTAGTAGTAGTAGTAGTATTGTTGTTGTTGTTGTTATTATAATTTTATCATATGTTTAATATTATATTTAATATATTTTAATATATTATTAATATTATCTTACTAAGCAACAAAAGCATAATTAATTTTGTAAATCGTCCTTGGGGACTCAGTCTTTACAGCTGAAGTGACAGAAATTTCACAAACTGTCTTATAGTAAAGCAAGGTTATCTTCCATTTACATAAGACCAGTTTTAATTATTTCAAGAATGTTTCTTGGCTTGTAATAAATAGATATAATAACATGTAAACTGTTCTGAGAATAAAGACTCTGTGGCCTTTTGTAAATAAGAACAGTTACATTTCACCTCAGTAGGCAACTGTTGCACAAGTCACATCTACAAAAGTAGGAACTAGCTTCTGAAGTAACACACCAAAATGTTTTCTGTGTATGTTTAACTGATATCCAGGGATGCGCTTAATGTATTCGTATGGAGGTTGTCTAAGTAACTATTTTCCCCTCATTCAATGTTTGTCTACAATACCCATAGCCATAATCTCAAAAGTTAAGCACTGAAAGATTAATTAACAAATACTTACCTGTGGTTTAGTGATATAGAAAGGCAACACTTACAGGGAGGGAGCATAGTTTTTCTTAAACAAGCCTCTGAGCTAGGAAAATGGACAAGTTTTCAGCAGCACAGGTTTAACACAGATAAAGTGAACTGCTGGATCAGTGCAGACTGGAATTGATCAGCTTAACTTAATTATGTAAACCATTAAACAATTTGAAAGCAAAGGTATTTGATGAGGAGAGAGTAATGTTTGTAGGGCATTGATTTTGCCTGACATTAGTGTTATTTGACCGGCACCAATGCTTAGCACTACAGTAAGCCTAAAACAGGTTACTGCCCCTGAAGATGTTAGCATGTGGAATATTTCTGTTTTCATCTTCCATAACATGTCCTGTCCATAGTTAAAAAATACAGTTTAGTGACTAGAAAATCTTTATCTAACAAAAAAGCCCAATCAGACATCAAAGACGTGTGGCCAAATTTCACCCATGATTAGAATGATTCAAACAGTATGATTATAGCTGATGTGAATTAAATTGCGTAGAAGTAACTATCCCATGGTACAATAGAGCATCATTTAGGCCATTTCAATCACCAGAAAAGGTTGCATAAATTACAGGAGAACTGACATAGCCTCTTTTTAAAGTATTGAATATGAAAAAATAACTCAGAACCTTGTATCTGATGGAGAAGCACTCAGGCTGGAAGCATCCATAGACCTCTGTAAGACAGGGCTGATCTGGTTGCATGCTGTTGAAACCTGGTTAGCAGGAGGTGAAACAGGTCTCAGCTGTTGAACTCTCATGGGACTGTCGGTGACTACTACATTACTGCATCTGTCTTTTCCAATTGACTTGAACTGATGTCCATAGCCAAGACCTCCTAAAAATAAACAAGGCAGGTTAGCATTTAACTCCCAGAATCCTATGATGAGGTGACAGAACTCACATCACTTTTGCAAAATAGGAAAACTGACTGGAACAGAGTATTTTCGGATGAGGACAAAACATGGGATGAATACAAGGATTTCATAAACCTCTCCAATCACAAAAAGCAGTATTATAAAAAAGAATTAATAAATTATGTATATTTAAAACACACTAAAGTACGTAAACTTGAGATCAGGTATGAGAGGTAAACATCAGGTGAACCACCACTGGAAAAGTCTGGGAAAAACAACAGCCCTCAGCTGATGGACAGTCAAGCCATAAGTGCATCTTTCTCTGAATCACAGAATCACAGAATGCCATGTTGGAAGGGACCTCGAGGATCATCTGGTCCAACCTTTCTAGGTACTACCATAGTTCATATGAAGTGGCTCAGCACCCTGTCAAGCTGAGACTTAAAACTGTCCAGTGTGGGGGAATCTACCACTTCCCTTGGGAGACTATTCCACTGTTTTACTGTCTTCATGGTAAAAAATTTACCTCTTGTGTCCAACCAGAATCTCCCCAGGACCAACTTGTGTCCATTACCCCTTGTCTTTCTAGTGATTTCTAGGAGTCTCCACCTTCTTGGTAGCCACACTTTAAGTATTGGAACATGGTAATAAGGTCTCCCCAAAGCCTTCTTTTCTCAAGGCTGAATAAACTCAGTTTTCTCAGCTTCTCCTCATATGGCCGGTCGTCCAGTCCTCTGATCATACTGTGGCCCTTCTCTGGACCCTCTCCAGCCTTCCAGAAGAAGGATGGGAGAACGCAAGGATTCTGCAGGAACACCACTATGCCTTGAATCCTACCAAACCCCACAGCTCCAAGGAATCACAAGCCCTTCCAGCATTCCCACCACTAGCCCTCCTAAAGACAAGAGGACTGCAGGCACGCATGCAAACTGCAAGCCCTGCAATAGGTCTGGAGGGGTGAAGTGCACAGGTTGCATTGTTTCCCTGGCAGCAGGGAGTTACAGCTGTGAGGGTGAAGGATTCCTTAGGAGCCTGGGGAGAGGAATTTGAGATGGTTCAACCATTCTGGACTTCCTTTAAAAGGCCACGATCTGTTCTTAATCACTGTTGCCATGACTCAAGCAGATGGCTATTACACAGTAGCATGAGAGGATTACAGAGGTGGCAAGTGAAAAGTATGTACAAAATGCTGTGTCTACTTCTGGTTTAGGTCAGAGATGTGGTTTACAAAAGCCCCTGCATTAAAGCACACTGAGATGAAAAATTTAAAATATAGGTTGCAATATTGAAGTTGTTGAATATCTGGCAAATACACATCACAGTGGGAATTCATAATTGAATGATTCGCATTTCTAGCTGCTTCCCCATGTTCAGACTACTCTCCAAAGCTGGATAGCAACATCAGGACAAATAGTGAAAAGTAATTCAAACTAAACCATTTTCTAAATTAAATCTACTCTTGACTTGGTTGTACAGCTCACGTACTTGTTTTTCTCAAGGATGGTCAAATGGTTTTAAACTTCACAAAGAAATACATTGAGGCATTTATGGCCCTGACAGTTGTAGGAAGAAAATCCAAATCCTTTCATTTCCAACAGATCTAACAGGATTACCTTAAAAATTTGCAATTCACCCTAGAAATTTCAGGTTATACCTTTCCCTCGCCATCCCCCAATGGAACACATAGATCTGTTTATTCCTGTTTCAGAGGTCTGTGCCTTCTTTGCAAATTAAACTTCTTCTCTTTGAATAATTAGTAATAATTAGTAATTTCTTAAATAATTAGTAATTTCTTAGATATATGTGAGGAGTACATACATGATTCTCAGTCCACTGGGATCATAAGTGCTTTGTAAATTCAGGTACAGATGTTACTAGTTGATGATGATGGCATGATCAGCCACTGAAATGTACTCCTCAGGATGAAATACAGCACCCCTTAAAAAAAATATATCTTACTCACTGTTACTACTTTGAAACATAAGTAAAGAATACAGCATCTGGCTGAAAACTCACAGGTAAGGAAAGAAGAAAACATTTAATAACCCATTTTGAAATTCAGCTATAAGGACAGGAAACTGTCAAGATACAACATGTGAAATTTCTTTGTACTGCACTCAACTCCATTGTGGGTACCAGAAAAAAAAGCTTTAAAAGTCTGTAAGATTACTGCCTGCTCTCCCTGAAGATGTCCAATTAAATCAAAAGAATAAGAGAAGGTGTTATATTTTCTTTTCTGTGAAGCAGTTTGTATTCTGAACTCACTAAAGCCCAATCACTGTGCTGCTCAGCAGTTGCTCTCATAATGATACAGAGTGCTAAAATAGAACCCATCAAAATTACACAAAAAGTGTTAAGTTGGCCTTCTAACATCACGAGTGCTACTTCTCTTTGCAAAAGGCTGGGTGGCATGGTTAAAATTTACATGACACAATCATATCATATAAATTACATCATTCTATATAAAATGCCTATATGACTGTGTGCAAGTACATATGTGCATTCAGCTATTTTTTTTTTAAGCCTCTTTAGCATGTAAAGCTAAAAGCTTCCTGCACAAAAGGATATAACAGACAGAGAAGCATGTTAAAATAAAATGAGACATCCAGCTGGTTTTGCCACTGAAACACAGCTGTAATGCTTATACAACCTATATATTTTTACTACTTAATGAGATGTAAACCTATTCTTTAGTATTGAGAAAAGCAGCTGTACCACAAAAATGCACCAAATAAATACTGACTCTTTCTTGCATGAAACCATAATGTCCTTCCCTCGTAAGCCACTTTCAACGAACTTCAAAGGCAACAATAGCATTGACTTTACCATATCCAGGGAATCAAGGGCTGTGCACTTGGAAAATTTTCATTTAGGGAGAGGCTACGGTGTAGTGGCCCTGTTACCTAGTTGGTTCAAATAACAATCTGTAATCATACAGTAATATTACTTCTTATATATGATCAGACCTGAGCTGCTTGGAACTTACATGTCAGAAAAAAAATTCCCCAAAAACAAACCAGAAAAGGGAGTAGTGTCAAACCAGTACTGTTAAATACAGAATGCTGCATCCTTAACATCCCTTGAAATTATAGGGTCTGCTCTTATTGTCTGTGCATAAACAGCACCTCAGTGATGCCAAGAACAGCTAAGAGAATTTGTTGTGTAAGGATGAAGGCCAAAGATTGTCTTGTTACTGGACACTGAAAGGAAAAAAATGAGAAAAGAAGAACTTTGGATAGATAGTATACTGGGATACAGACAAAAGTAACGAAAGACTCCAGTTCTTATAAACATTTGCTTGGATTCTTCTCATGCAGAAGTGGAAGGAGAAGGTTTTGCTTTTTTTGTCATTGATAAACCATTCCCTGTATGGGGAAAAAATTACAATTCTTTCACTCAAAGGGCCGGGGCGTTGGAGAGATTATAAAGAAAGAGTCTCTTATCAGCTCCCACCATTGCAAGAGGCTGCAAAAGGCTACTACTCTAAAAACCAAAGTCAAGGTATTATATCCACTTGATTCACACAGGTGTAAATATGCCATAAGACCAGAATTAGTACCTCATCTGTGCCCTTCAGGTGACAGAGCAGTATTAATTTGTCTGAATCAGGCATGAGCACACAATCTCTTGTCTGTTGAGCCAAGTCAGAGCACACGTCAGGAAGCTCATGCTGGGCTTGAGCCTGCTGCAGGAGTACAGACCACATCTGATCTAGCATGAAGTGAAACGGACACAGCATGGATATCTGACCTAGCATGAATCTGCAAGCTGTCAGAAAATGTGTTTAAAAGTGCTGAATAAATGTGAACTGGCAAAAATACCATGTCTCACATCAGTATTTGGCATTATATACCCACAGTGCAAGAGGAGTCCCCAGTCCAAGTTCACTGCATCATTGACCCAAAGCCTGAAAATTTCAGGACAGTGAAAGGACAACCAGGAATTCCTTAATGTCTTGAATGCACATCAGCTAAGATAAATGGGAGCCTCTTTGGAGGGCATCAGTGGGTTTTGAACAAGGCTGTAGATTCTGAGAAAAAAATGCATGGACATTAAATGGGCAAGAAAATATATTTCTTCTCTTATATATTAAGATATACATCAGGCAATAGTCAAATAAATGCAACAGTAGCTGAGGAGGTGGAATCAGTCCTTCCACAGGAAGAGCTGTGGTTGGTTAGTACCTCACCTACTTCAAATAAATACATTTCACATAAATCAAAACTGCTCTTTATCAGTAACTAACAGTAATAATTAACAAGTATAAACAGTAAAAATATTTTATGGAGATATTTTAGGCCATACACTTCCTCATTCGTTAGCTCGTCTATTTTCCCTGTTGATTCTCTATAGCTGGTTAATAGCTAAGCTTCACTTATCCTTGATATGCAAAAACATTTCACTGCAATCTTCTGAAGAACATCTAAAGAACACAGAAAAAAATATAACTACTTTAATTTAGGCACACTGAATCTCAGATGAGATGTTTTTAATTTATATCACTTTCATACTGACTGAAGGCAGAGCCCTATAGGAAATTATTTAAACATAAATTCTTCTATCAGATATTGTTTGAAAACCAACCAATTTCTTTGTCTGCTTCTCCAAGTCAAGAATAGTAAATTGTTAATTCTGCCAAGTAATTCAGGTTACAAAATAAAACTGCTTCATCAAACTTCTGTAAATTTTTATCTGTTTCCCATGTGTAAGTGGTAATACAACCAAAAATGTCATGGTAAAACCAGTTTTAGCTGTTTCGTGTTCTGAAATGTGCCACATACCAAATACAAAACACCAGATCAAATTCATTCATATCTGAGCTCAATAAATTCTGCGAAACAGAATTTATCAGTATGAAAGAAAGCTATTAAAATTATCTGAAAATCTATCCTGTTGTTACTGTTAGAATAACAGCTAGAAATAAAAGAATTGCAGCACAGGTGCAGAAGGTAAATTCCCTAAAGGATTTTCTGTCTGTGGA